TTTTTTGCTTCTACGATTCACGATACATTCGCAATCGTGTATGCCACTAATGTCAAATGGGACTATTTTGTACGGGTAACTACACCACCACCGCATTTTTTATTAATTTTTTTTTCACACAACAGAATTTTGATCTTTTAAATTGAAATACCTGATTAAAGGGTGGCCGAAATTTTTCTCCGCCCCGGGCGGCTAACACCCACGGTACGCCACTGCGCATCTGAACTCGTCTATCAAAAAATTGGCGCATGGTATGCAAAAGGTTGGCCACCCCTGCTCTATGCCTTCATAAAGGACGTACTTTTCCTTTGTTTAAGGGTATTTGGGCAGTTTATTCTCTGTTGTATTCTCAAGTAAACAATACATACAAGTACAGTACAGTATTTTCTGAGGAAACACTCGTACTTATTTTTTTTAACCCCATTCCCGATAACCCGGCATTTTCACAAACTCGGCTACCTTTCGGTCCACATTAGACCGAGTTTTCGAGGTTCTACTGTATTAGTTTAAAGCTCTTAATAAACTTTGACGATGTGAAATTATACCAAATTATTGATTATAGAATGTATAGTTTAACAAATTCACTGCAAATTTTATGAATTTCCTTTATGATTAAATTAATAATTTGAAATTTTTAGCACATCTCCAGAAAACAAGGAGATATTCAGTTAGATGGAGCAAATCCATCTGCTGAAGAAGTTGATGAGGGAACAGATGAATATGTAGAAAGTGGATTAGATTTGGTGCTCAATCAAAGACTTGTAGAAACTGGATTCTCCAAAAATGATTATAAAAATTATCTGAAAAGTTACACCAAAATGTAAGTGTTAATAAAATGAGATGTTGCAATTTAAATCTGTATGATATGATATGATATGAGAATTAAGTTTAACTTTTTTTTTTTTTTTTCTTAAGGCTTCAAGATAAATGGAAAGAAGTTGGTAAAACTGATGATGAAATCAATCATGCTAAAGCCAAAATTACAGAAGCGGTAAAAAAAATTTTACCAAAATTGAGTGAGGTCCAGTTCTTCTTAGGTAGGTTATGTAAATGTTTATATATTTTTAATTTGAAAAGTGAAATTGAAGAATAAATTAATGAACATTAATTTTTTTAGGTGAAAGTTCCAATCCTGATGGTATGGTAGCTATCTTGGAGTATCGGGATGATGGAAATGGTGAGAAGCCCTTCATGATGTTTATGAAACATGGATTGGAAGAAGAGAAAGTAGTAAGTATATTTTTCACTTTTGTAAACAAAAACTTTCCACTATTAAGTTTTTGATTTAATATATAGGTAATAGTAATGATTGTTACTATCAAATTACATTTATAAACTGTTGTAAATATGCTGCAGAAGCTATTAAAATTCATTAGCATAAACTTCATTTTTTAATGTTACAACACACGTTTGTGAATCAAAACAAATATACATTGCTCAGATTAATAAAAGTACACTATTACTTTTTAGGTTTTAATTGTTAAAATAGTTTGAACTAACTGATTTTAAAAATTAAGTTCAGATTAGTAAAAATGAACTGCATCAGCCTCTATCATTTGTTTAGTGTGTTAAATACGCATGTAAGGATACAGTATCAAAATTTGCAGCAAGCAAAATTTTGTAATAAATTATGGAACATTTTAATAAGAGTTGTTGGTGACTTAATTTTATCTTGTGATTTATAAAATGTGCTGACCAAATCCTGTAATTAAAACATTACTAAACTTATTTGCAGTTTCTCTTACATATTAAGTGCTTATAAGAAAAAAAAGACAGAACATTTAACTTATACAATCTTGTTGCTTTTTGTTGTTCACTAATGTATCCTGTTTAAGTACTCATGTTTGGGCTGCTGAATTAATGTACTGTACTTATAAGTAGTACCTAATTTAGGAGAAAAGCACAATGTACAAATATGCATAGAATAATGCATGTGGAGTAAATTAGGATAAGAGAGGAGAGTGCCTTTTGTAATTTCTCTCACTGTATTTAGCTCAACTTTTTAATCTCTTATTATTTGATGGCAGTGTTCAGATTTTTACCAGGTGAACAGCTTACCTGAGCTAAGATTTTTTCTATTATCTACTACTTTGCATATTAGGAAAAAAAATAGCCATTTAGATAACATATTAAAACTTTGTTAAACACAACAAATTCTTCAATTAATTAAAATATCTATAACCATAAGGCAGATAATAGGAAGGGCTTATCACACCAATGATAATGGGCACAAATGCTCAAGAATCAAAGTAAAAATTTAATAAAACAAAAAGGGGGTACAATAAGATGATTACATAAGTATAAAAACCGTAAAAATCCAAAATGCATTTCGGACTATTTTCGAATGGAAAAATAGTCCGTCATCAGTTGGTAATAGCGAGAGGTCTTAATATACTTAAAATTATACAAGGTGAAAAAATATGAAATTTAAAATTAATCTTAAAACTATGCCTAAAACTATACAATATAAAGATGAAACCATCGCCATGACTGTATGAGCAGTAAGCATTATCAATGTAGACAGGATTAACATTTCTTCNTGAATACATCGACTCTCCCCCTGAGTCTGGCTGGGTACTTCCGATTACAATGCATTGCCTCTAGTCCTTCTACTGTAGTTCTGTAGAAGGCCGCCTCTTGGCTGACTACCAAGGGCAGCGGGAGCAGCCCGGCCAAGACCAGGGCCGCATCCGTAGACACAGATCTGTAAGCTCTCGTGACCCGCAGGGCAGCGGGCCTTTGGATCGTGAGCAGTGTCCTGCTCATCTTGACATTGGCGGTGTCCTTCCACCAAACTCCGCAGGCATAGCAGATCACTCGCTCCACACACCTCTTGTAGATAGTGCGGAGCGCTTCTCCACCTAAGCCATAATCCTGTCTAGCTAGCCTTGATAGTGCTGCTATCATGAGGTTCGTCTTTTCACGGACGTTCCTCAGATGGGGCGTCCAGCATAGTGTCTGATCGATGGTAACACCGAGGTACTTAATCTCGTTCACCCTTCTGATGGGGTTTCCCCGTATCCGGTATATTGGTCGGCGGGCCAACACTCCAGACCGGGCCACCGTCAGGGCCTCCGATTTCTCGGGGCTGAACGAGAGCTTGTGCAGCTCTCCCCAACGAACGAGTTGTTCTATTGCTTCGTTGCCGCGACTCTCCATGTCGCTTCGGCTGTAGCCGGCAACTACTAACAACAGATCGTCTGCATATGCCTGCAGCTGGACGTCGTCCGGTAGGACTAGTCGCAGCGCCGTGTCCGCTAGGATGTTCCAAAGCAAAGGCCCGATACAGGATCCTTGGGGGCATCCCCTCTCCAGTATCTTCGTTTGTCTTGAGCTTGGCGTCTCATATATCACCTCGCGGTCGCTCAGGAAACTCCTGGAAAGCGATACAAGGGTGGTCGGCAGGTTCGCCTTCCGCAGTTCACTCACTATGGATGGCCACCAGACATTGTCAAAAGCCCCCGCGACGTCCATCGAAATGAGCGACGTGTGGAGCCCCTGCCGGCGGTTCTGGCGAACCAGAGAAACCGCACGATGTAGCGCCTGGCAGGTAGACAAGTCCGGCCGGAATCCATATTGTTGTGGGTGTAACAGCCCTTTCCGCTTTAGATGGTAATATATTCTGTCACTAAGGATTCTATCAAGAACCTTCCCTAGGACAGGCAAGAGACTGATCGGTCTGTACGACTTCGGTTCATCCTTCGGGCGCCTCTCCTTATGAATAAACACAAGTCGCGCCCGCTTCCACAACTTTGGGAAATGACCCAGTTGCAGACACATCTGATATAGTCCACGGAGCAGGCCAGGACGTTCGTGTTGTAGAACTTGTACCATTTCGGCCGTGATCCCATCAACGCCAGGTGCCTTCTTCTTTCTTAGCGTACCCACGACGTGGGCCACCTCGGATTCAGACACTGGCACGGGTAACTCGGCCTCAGGAACGGGCAGCTCCGCGTCACTTCGAAGCCGCCTCTGCTCCTCGGTATCATCGGACCGCTCATCACACGGAAAGTGCGAGTGGAGCAGCACCTGTATCGATTCCTCCTGTGTGGAGGTTAGGGTACCGTCAGGCTTTTTCATGGCCCCCAAGACCGTACTACGCTTTAGTTTGCCCACCGCTAGCTTGTAGGGTAGACAGAACGGGTTATTGTCACTAACTTCCTTACAGAAACTGAGCCATGAGGTCTTTTTCGCATTGTTCAAGTTGCGCTTGTACTCAGTATTGGCCTTCTGGAACTCCAGTTTCCTTGTAGCCCGAAGGTCGTTGTCCCTGCATCGTTGAAAGCGTCGGCGGAGCGCCCTGACACGCTTCCGAAGGACACTCAGCTCCTGGGTCCACCAGGGAACTGACCGGTGTTTGTGGGGCCGCCTTTGCGCGAGTGTGCAGTCTCCTGCTCCTCTGACCGCATTGGTTAAGTTCTCCACCACATTCTCCAGGTCCTCGACACTCTCAACCTTAGAGACTTGAGTGACGATATCGGCTGTCTTTTCTTTGAGGCATTTGCTAAAACGATCGCGGTTTCCGGCGGTCAGCTTGTAGCGGCAGCTCGGCCAGGCAATCGAGCCGCTCAACACCTCAAAAGAGATGAAGCGATGATCGCTACAGCTTTCCGCACCGATCGTTTCCCACTGTGAGGTCAGTCTCAGCATAGCTCCACTAACAATAGTCAGATCAATCCAGCTCTCGCCGTTACAGTTCGAGAAGGTAGCAATCCCAAACGGATCGTTCAGGATATGCATACCCCACCCCTCCACCGTCTCCTTCATCATGTTCCCGTCCGGATCGTCCACGGGGGATCCCCACAGCGAGTGTTTGGCGTTAAAGTCCCCAGCCAAGACAACTCTACCGCGGGGCGGGACAACCCTTTCGAGTTCAATTAGAAAGTCTCCCAGATTAAGTGACGGGGGGCGATAAGCGGATATCACCGTCCAAGCACATGAAGGCGACCGTATTTCTACGGCCACCACGAGAGGAGAGATGTGGACAGCATACGCATCAACATCCCTTCGTGTAAAAATTACTGCAGCTCGACAGTCGTCACCTTCTTGGGCAAAAGCGCTCCATTGTAATGAAAGACCACCAACTTTTCCAAACACTAGGTACGGCTCTTGGAGCAGGATGATATCAACCTCCCGCTCCGCCACTTCCACCTGTAATTGGGCGGTTGCGGCTCGGCACTTCTCAGCGTTGAACTGCAATATTTTGCAGCCGCACTCGTCATTCCGCTGTGTGTAAGAGAAAGCGGATTTTGGCATGAGGCACTAACTCTTTACTGACCAAAGTCAGTTCGGGCCTGAGCTCTTTCGAGCTCCCGCGTGTAACACGGGCAGCTGGCACTCATTGCTGAGTGGACGGTCCCCAGCTGCAGGCCGAACTTCCTATTTGCTTTGGTGCAGTTAATGCACTTCGGCATAGTGGCTTTGCACTCCTTATAGGAGTGGCCCTCACCACATTTGCTACAAGATTGGGCTCCCGCCGAGCAGCCCTTTGCTACGTGGTTGAAGCCGTAGCACTTGTAGCACCGGGTGATTGCTAAATATCCCTTCACCCGGTTGCGAGTCCACCCAACGTGTAATTTCCCCTTTTTCAGGAGCTCGTGGTAGACCATCGGGGAGGCCTCTAGAACCCAATTGACAAGGCCTCCCTTTCCCTTAAGAGGGAAACGAGGTTGGAGTGCCCCAGGCTCCACCTCGACGCTATTTTGCTTGGTTATAGTCTCCACGAGGGACTCACGCTTGATGTCTGGGCTGACATCGAAGATAATGACCCTAGGCCTGCGCTTCTGGGGCAGTCGACACTCGACAGCTTCCTTCAGCGCGGCCGGGCCTTCCGTCAACTCCTTTGATAATTTAACCACATCTTGGTGTCTATTCACCTCTACCAAGATGCCGTTATTCTTAACTTTGCGCACGTTTTTAATACCGACTCCCAACATTGTCGGATTAACGTGCGTCTTTACTAGTTCGCGCGTACGCTCACTAGTCATCGATTTGTCCCGAGGGTAGACCAGGAGCGTGTGCTCCGTGGAGAGAACCCTCTTTGGCTTGGCGGTCGGTGCCCGTGGTCCCTCTTGGTTAAATGCTGGGACCGGACGGGCGGCAATGGCAGCGTACGAAGCGCTACCAGCCTTGGCCGCCTTGCCGTCTTTTACAGCAGTAGAAAGCGTGGCGGGAGGCTTTCGGCCTCCCATGACCTCTTTCAAGGTCCGGTTTTCGGCCCGGAGAGAGGC